TCACAGCCTAGTAACGAGGGTTATCGCTCCTGCGTCTCCTTTTGAGTCGACTCAAAAGTCACCTCATGGATGCAACATGCATGGATATCACAGCCTAGTAACGAGGGTTATCGCTCCTGCGTCTCCTTTTGAGTCGACTCAAAAGTCACCTCATGGATGCAACATGCATGGATATCACAGCCTAGTAACGAGGGTTATCGCTCCTGCGTCTCCTTTTGAGTCGACTCAAAAGTCACCTCATGGATGCAACATGCATGGATATCACAGCCTAGTAACGAGGGTTATCGCTCCTGCGTCTCCTTTTGAGTCGACTCAAAAGTCACCTCATGGATGCAACATGCATGGATATCACAGCCTAGTAACGAGGGTTATCGCTCCTGCGTCTCCTTTTGAGTCGACTCAAAAGTCACCTCATGGATGCAACATGCATGGATATCACAGCCTAGTAACGAGGGTTATCGCTCCTGCGTCTCCTTTTGAGTCGACTCAAAAGTCACCTCATGGATGCAACATGCATGGATATCACAGCCTAGTAACGAGGGTTATCGCTCCTGCGTCTCCTTTTGAGTCGACTCAAAAGTCACCTCATGGATGCAACATGCATGGATATCACAGCCTAGTAACGAGGGTTATCGCTCCTGCGTCTCCTTTTGAGTCGACTCAAAAGTCACCTCATGGATGCAACATGCATGGATATCACAGCCTAGTAACGAGGGTTATCGCTCCTGCGTCTCCTTTTGAGTCGACTCAAAAGTCACCTCATGGATGCAACATGCATGGATATCACAGCCTAGTAACGAGGGTTATCGCTCCTGCGTCTCCTTTTGAGTCGACTCAAAAGTCACCTCATGGATGCAACATGCATGGATATCACAGCCTAGTAACGAGGGTTATCGCTCCTGCGTCTCCTTTTGAGTCGACTCAAAAGTCACCTCATGGATGCAACATGCATGGATATCACAGCCTAGTAACGAGGGTTATCGCTCCTGCGTCTCCTTTTGAGTCGACTCAAAAGTCACCTCATGGATGCAACATGCATGGATATCACAGCCTAGTAACGAGGGTTATCGCTCCTGCGTCTCCTTTTGAGTCGACTCAAAAGTCACCTCATGGATGCAACATGCATGGATATCACAGCCTAGTAACGAGGGTTATCGCTCCTGCGTCTCCTTTTGAGTCGACTCAAAAGTCACCTCATGGATGCAACATGCATGGATATCACAGCCTAGTAACGAGGGTTATCGCTCCTGCGTCTCCTTTTGAGTCGACTCAAAAGTCACCTCATGGATGCAACATGCATGGATATCACAGCCTAGTAACGAGGGTTATCGCTCCTGCGTCTCCTTTTGAGTCGACTCAAAAGTCACCTCATGGATGCAACATGCATGGATATCACAGCCTAGTAACGAGGGTTATCGCTCCTGCGTCTCCTTTTGAGTCGACTCAAAAGTCACCTCATGGATGCAACATGCATGGATATCACAGCCTAGTAACGAGGGTTATCGCTCCTGCGTCTCCTTTTGAGTCGACTCAAAAGTCACCTCATGGATGCAACATGCATGGATATCACAGCCTAGTAACGAGGGTTATCGCTCCTGCGTCTCCTTTTGAGTCGACTCAAAAGTCACCTCATGGATGCAACATGCATGGATATCACAGCCTAGTAACGAGGGTTATCGCTCCTGCGTCTCCTTTTGAGTCGACTCAAAAGTCACCTCATGGATGCAACATGCATGGATATCACAGCCTAGTAACGAGGGTTATCGCTCCTGCGTCTCCTTTTGAGTCGACTCAAAAGTCACCTCATGGATGCAACATGCATGGATATCACAGCCTAGTAACGAGGGTTATCGCTCCTGCGTCTCCTTTTGAGTCGACTCAAAAGTCACCTCATGGATGCAACATGCATGGATATCACAGCCTAGTAACGAGGGTTATCGCTCCTGCGTCTCCTTTTGAGTCGACTCAAAAGTCACCTCATGGATGCAACATGCATGGATATCACAGCCTAGTAACGAGGGTTATCGCTCCTGCGTCTCCTTTTGAGTCGACTCAAAAGTCACCTCATGGATGCAACATGCATGGATATCACAGCCTAGTAACGAGGGTTATCGCTCCTGCGTCTCCTTTTGAGTCGACTCAAAAGTCACCTCATGGATGCAACATGCATGGATATCACAGCCTAGTAACGAGGGTTATCGCTCCTGCGTCTCCTTTTGAGTCGACTCAAAAGTCACCTCATGGATGCAACATGCATGGATATCACAGCCTAGTAACGAGGGTTATCGCTCCTGCGTCTCCTTTTGAGTCGACTCAAAAGTCACCTCATGGATGCAACATGCATGGATATCACAGCCTAGTAACGAGGGTTATCGCTCCTGCGTCTCCTTTTGAGTCGACTCAAAAGTCACCTCATGGATGCAACATGCATGGATATCACAGCCTAGTAACGAGGGTTATCGCTCCTGCGTCTCCTTTTGAGTCGACTCAAAAGTCACCTCATGGATGCAACATGCATGGATATCACAGCCTAGTAACGAGGGTTATCGCTCCTGCGTCTCCTTTTGAGTCGACTCAAAAGTCACCTCATGGATGCAACATGCATGGATATCACAGCCTAGTAACGAGGGTTATCGCTCCTGCGTCTCCTTTTGAGTCGACTCAAAAGTCACCTCATGGATGCAACATGCATGGATATCACAGCCTAGTAACGAGGGTTATCGCTCCTGCGTCTCCTTTTGAGTCGACTCAAAAGTCACCTCATGGATGCAACATGCATGGATATCACAGCCTAGTAACGAGGGTTATCGCTCCTGCGTCTCCTTTTGAGTCGACTCAAAAGTCACCTCATGGATGCAACATGCATGGATATCACAGCCTAGTAACGAGGGTTATCGCTCCTGCGTCTCCTTTTGAGTCGACTCAAAAGTCACCTCATGGATGCAACATGCATGGATATCACAGCCTAGTAACGAGGGTTATCGCTCCTGCGTCTCCTTTTGAGTCGACTCAAAAGTCACCTCATGGATGCAACATGCATGGATATCACAGCCTAGTAACGAGGGTTATCGCTCCTGCGTCTCCTTTTGAGTCGACTCAAAAGTCACCTCATGGATGCAACATGCATGGATATCACAGCCTAGTAACGAGGGTTATCGCTCCTGCGTCTCCTTTTGAGTCGACTCAAAAGTCACCTCATGGATGCAACATGCATGGATATCACAGCCTAGTAACGAGGGTTATCGCTCCTGCGTCTCCTTTTGAGTCGACTCAAAAGTCACCTCATGGATGCAACATGCATGGATATCACAGCCTAGTAACGAGGGTTATCGCTCCTGCGTCTCCTTTTGAGTCGACTCAAAAGTCACCTCATGGATGCAACATGCATGGATATCACAGCCTAGTAACGAGGGTTATCGCTCCTGCGTCTCCTTTTGAGTCGACTCAAAAGTCACCTCATGGATGCAACATGCATGGATATCACAGCCTAGTAACGAGGGTTATCGCTCCTGCGTCTCCTTTTGAGTCGACTCAAAAGTCACCTCATGGATGCAACATGCATGGATATCACAGCCTAGTAACGAGGGTTATCGCTCCTGCGTCTCCTTTTGAGTCGACTCAAAAGTCACCTCATGGATGCAACATGCATGGATATCACAGCCTAGTAACGAGGGTTATCGCTCCTGCGTCTCCTTTTGAGTCGACTCAAAAGTCACCTCATGGATGCAACATGCATGGATATCACAGCCTAGTAACGAGGGTTATCGCTCCTGCGTCTCCTTTTGAGTCGACTCAAAAGTCACCTCATGGATGCAACATGCATGGATATCACAGCCTAGTAACGAGGGTTATCGCTCCTGCGTCTCCTTTTGAGTCGACTCAAAAGTCACCTCATGGATGCAACATGCATGGATATCACAGCCTAGTAACGAGGGTTATCGCTCCTGCGTCTCCTTTTGAGTCGACTCAAAAGTCACCTCATGGATGCAACATGCATGGATATCACAGCCTAGTAACGAGGGTTATCGCTCCTGCGTCTCCTTTTGAGTCGACTCAAAAGTCACCTCATGGATGCAACATGCATGGATATCACAGCCTAGTAACGAGGGTTATCGCTCCTGCGTCTCCTTTTGAGTCGACTCAAAAGTCACCTCATGGATGCAACATGCATGGATATCACAGCCTAGTAACGAGGGTTATCGCTCCTGCGTCTCCTTTTGAGTCGACTCAAAAGTCACCTCATGGATGCAACATGCATGGATATCACAGCCTAGTAACGAGGGTTATCGCTCCTGCGTCTCCTTTTGAGTCGACTCAAAAGTCACCTCATGGATGCAACATGCATGGATATCACAGCCTAGTAACGAGGGTTATCGCTCCTGCGTCTCCTTTTGAGTCGACTCAAAAGTCACCTCATGGATGCAACATGCATGGATATCACAGCCTAGTAACGAGGGTTATCGCTCCTGCGTCTCCTTTTGAGTCGACTCAAAAGTCACCTCATGGATGCAACATGCATGGATATCACAGCCTAGTAACGAGGGTTATCGCTCCTGCGTCTCCTTTTGAGTCGACTCAAAAGTCACCTCATGGATGCAACATGCATGGATATCACAGCCTAGTAACGAGGGTTATCGCTCCTGCGTCTCCTTTTGAGTCGACTCAAAAGTCACCTCATGGATGCAACATGCATGGATATCACAGCCTAGTAACGAGGGTTATCGCTCCTGCGTCTCCTTTTGAGTCGACTCAAAAGTCACCTCATGGATGCAACATGCATGGATATCACAGCCTAGTAACGAGGGTTATCGCTCCTGCGTCTCCTTTTGAGTCGACTCAAAAGTCACCTCATGGATGCAACATGCATGGATATCACAGCCTAGTAACGAGGGTTATCGCTCCTGCGTCTCCTTTTGAGTCGACTCAAAAGTCACCTCATGGATGCAACATGCATGGATATCACAGCCTAGTAACGAGGGTACAGTGGGAAAGGGGAAGGGTCAGAACCAGATGATGCCTTGATGCACCCGACTGGGGTACACCCGCGCACATGCTCGAGGGGAGGCGTTCACCTGGAAGGGAGAGGAGGGGAGAGGGGTTGGGTGGTGGGAAGGGTACAGTGGGAAAGGGGAAGGGTCAGAACCAGATGATGCCTTGATGCACCCGACTGGGGTACACACGCGCACATGCTCGAGGGGAGGCGCTCACCTGGAAGGGAGAGGAGGGGAGGGGGGTTGGGTGGTGGGAAGGGTACAGTGGGAAAGGGGAACGGTCAGAACCAGATGTTGCCTTGATGCACCCGACAGGGGTACACACGCGCACATGCTCGAGGGGAGGCGCTCACCTGGAAGGGAGAGGAGGGGAGGGGGGTTGGGTGGTGGGAAGGGTACAGTGGGAAAGGGGAACGGTCAGAACCAGATGTTGCCTTGATGCACCCGACAGGGGTACACACGCGCACATGCTCGAGGGGAGGCGTTCACCTGGGAGAGGGAGGGGGGTGGGGTGGGTGGGGTGGGAAGGGTACAATGGGAAAGGGGAAGGGCCAGAACCAGATGATGCCTTGATGCACCCGACTGAAGTACAAACGCGCACATGCTCGAGGGGAGGCGCTCACCTGGAGGGAGGGAGGGGGGTGGGGTGGGGTGGGTGGGAGGGGGAGGGGGGTTGGGTGGTGGGAAGGGTACAGGGGGAAAGGGGAAGGGTCATAACCAGATGATGCCTTGATGCACCCGACAGGGGTACACACGCGCACATGCTCGAGGGGAGGCGTTCACCTGGGAGAGGGAGGGGGGTGGGGTGGGTGGGGTGGGAAGGGTACAATGGGAAAGGGGAAGGGCCAGAATCAGACGATGCCTTGGTGCATCCGTCTGGGGTACACACGTGCACATGCTCTAGGGGAGGCGCTCACCTGGAGGGAGGGAGGGGGGTGGAGAGCGGGGTGGGTGGGAGGGGGAGGGGGGTTGGGTGGTGGGAAGGGTACAGGGGGAAAGGGGAAGGGTCATAACCAGATGATGCCTAAATACTCCTGGCATGGGTACACCCGCGCACATGCTCAAGGGGAGGCGTTCACCTGGGAGGAGGAGGGAGGGCAGGGGCAAGGGTGGGGGACAAGAAAGGTGGGGAAGGAATGGGTGTGGGAAGGCAAGGCGGGAAGCAGGGAAGGGGAGTAGGCAAGGTTTGGGGGAGGAGCAGCAACAAGAGCAGTGGAGGGGGAGAGATCCGGCCAGAACCAAAGAACCACAAAGGCACATGCTCGAGGAGAGGTGATTATGGGGAAAGGGAGTGGAAGCTCGGGGTGGAAAAGGCAGGAGGGGGCGAGGGGGAGGGAGGAGGGGGGGGGGGGGGGGGGGAGGGGGGATGGTGAAGTCTGGTGGGAACAGCTGACTAGCAACCAATTTCGCAGCAGCAGACCAAGATGCTGGGTGGGTTGTACGTGTGTTTCGGTCGAAATACTTTGACTTGCCCTATTTTTCAACACATATCCCACTCACCGTACCATCCCTCACTCACATATCCCACTCACTCACTGATGGCCCGTCCATGGGAGCCTAAGAAATGCACCCCAATGGGGCATATTTCCTGATTGAACAGAATATTATGAACATTCCAATAACACCCACTCCTCTGGTCCTGTGGGACACACGCACACACACACACACACACACACACGCACGCACGCACGCACACACGCACACACACACACACACACACACACACACACACACACACACACAATGGAAATCCCACTTACTGCTGGCCCGTCAGTGGGAGCCTGAGGAATGAACCCACACGAACCCTCTCCTGAAAACGTCCATCCGTGGTAGGAGCACTGCAGCTGCCCTGATTCATGGATCCGTCCCTCTGATAGCGGAGCAAGCCTGGGAGTGGGGAGGAGGGAGGTGGTAGGAATAACCAGTCCAGTTTGCAAGGGAGGAGGTGAAGGAGCAAGCACTCCAATTGCCCCGATTCGTGTATCAACGCTCTGATAACGGGGCAAGCTAGGAGGTGGAGGGAGGCGAGGCTAAGGAGTTCGAGAGACAGGAAGAAAGGCGAGATAAGTAGATGGTGGAAATGAAAAGGGGATGGGGGCCCAAGGAAGAGGAAGCAAGAGTACGGGAGGGAGGCAAGAAGAGAGAAAGCGAGGCTGGACAAGGGGAGAATGGAGTTAGGAAGATTACGCTTGCAAGCAATAGGGCATAACGTTGTATCAGAAGAGAGTAGAGAACAATAAGGGAACAAATGGACACATGATATGAAACAATGAGGGAGGATGGTCATCGCTGCGAATACCTGTGAGGGCAGAGGTCATGGAAGACTCGCCATTGGTCGGACACCCGATCGAACCAGATGACCAATGGGCGGCCGAGAATGGTCACAGGCTCGGGAACGCGCTTGTTCAGAGTCTTGGTGAGCGCTGGCGGGTGTGGTGGAGGGGGGAGGGGGGAGGAGGGGGGTGAGAGGAGGAAAATGTGTCGAACACATTGGAAGGGAATCAGATGATGTGCGGAGAGAGGAAATGGGGTAAGGGGGAAAGGGGATGCGTTGAACGCGCTTGCTCAGAGTCTTGGTGAGCGCTGGCAGGTAGCACGGTGGTGGGGGGGAGGTGGGGGGAGAGTGGAGGGGGGGTTGTTGAGGAGAGGATAACGTGCTAGACATTGGAGTGAAGGGAATGAGATGAGCCTCACGCAAAAGGATGGTATCCAGAATTGTGCACGCCGAAGCCTTTCCGAGGAATTGCGGTCAAGGGGGGGGAGGGGGGGAGGGGTTATTCAGCACTCTGAAAGAAGGCGGAAACTGCGTTGTGGGGAGGAGTAAGTAAGGGACGACGGACTCCGTCAGAGTCTAGGAGGGGCGAGAGGAAACAGTGGAAACAGGGGAGAGAGGAGAATCTAGGATGCAAGGAATTAATGAGGTGATGTTTCAATGTCATGTACTAATACTGCCAGTGAGCTTCCCTCAGTGAGCTTCCCTGATGATGATGAGTTTCTGCGCTAAAACTTCCACGACCTCGCATTTCGGAAAAGGATATCGCCGAAAATTGTACACGTAAGATTTTTCTTCCAAGCGTCAAGGAAACGTGGAAAATCACAAGGCAAACTTCACTTTTTTGCTGCGCACATGCGAGACGAAAAAATCACGTTGCTCCGTGCAGCGAAATTGTTACTCTGACGCTCGAACATGTTCAGCGTGACGCTGCATTTAAGTTGTTGCAAAGCACGTCCAAACCTATGTTTGCAGGCCCTCCACTTCTCAGGGTGTCACTTTTAGTTTATCTCAGGTGCTTTTCCTGATGATATACGTGACGGTTCTTTTCGTGCGAGATTGCTTTTATGACCGTCATTGTAACAATATAGCATTCACGTACCTACTGGGTACCAGGCTTTGTCCCAGTCGAATAACTCTTCCTCAACGGCGGTTGTCTCTTCCGTGGCCGTCGCAAAACCACCTTCTACAGTCACAGCCGCTGCTGCCACACCATCACGCGACGCATAACAGCATCGACCTCGAGATTTCTCAGGTTGAACGAGTGGAGATCCATGACTTCGCCGCGTGGACGCTAGTACGAACTGTCGACCTTCCGTGAATCGCGGCGCCTTTGGCCTCGAAATGAACGTGTTAATGTTTCTTGCATTGGTGCTCAGCGACAATGAGCAGTTTGAAACGCGTGAAACAACTTTGGTATGGTTGATGGTTCCAGAAATCGCGTTGCTCGCGTGATATGAAGCAGAGAAAGCCATGGGGAAGAGCTGGGAATGGGGGAAAATACGTGTGTCAACAGGAATGCAGAAATTTCACATATGCTGGGTGAAATGAGATCCCTCAGAGTTTTTTCGAGGGATTTCAGTCCCTGTGAATGCCGACTCGCAAAGAAATTGATGGAGTCCTGCCTAAAGCGTGTATGGAGGCCATAAGACACTCGCGAAGTTGCGACAGAGACACTATCTGTAGTGCAAGTTGGCTTTCCTGAGTTGGCGCTTCTTCACCTACAAACCGTACTAGACCCATATCCATGTCTTTTCCACCTAGCGAAGCCGCGTTGAACCCAGCTGTAACGAGTCCCCTGCTTGCGTGTGCTCGGCATGAGCTGGTTCTGGTGGGGGGGATGGGAGGGGAGGGAGTGACAGAGGAAGTCAACCCAATCCCAATAAATTGTTTCGCACAAATTGGACCGTTGCTTGCTGGAGCCCGTGAATCTGGAGACGTGATTGGACGTGCTCGTTTCCAGAATCTCCATCTCACGCATCGAACGGTGACTATCGGATAGAGCAACCATTTGACGATCCGATGTCGCACGGCAATATCGAAGCAGTCACTCTGTCACCGGTACACCCGCCTTAATTTTCTCCATAAACAATCAATCTTGAAGGATCACTGAAAACGAGAAAACTTGCGGCGCACAAGTGAACTCTTCCTCTGATACCGGGGATGGTGTTAGTGGTCAAGTGTGTGCTGAGATTTGTTATTTGTTTCTTGTGGATGAAGGGTGTGCCATGGTAGGGCTTTCCATGCACATGTGATGCATGTAGCCAAAGGTTTGCTTTGCTAGGTCAAAGAGTATATGCTCATCTATGGTCAGTCAAACTTTTGAGTAGAGGCCTAAGCAAACCGTGATGTTACAACTAAGAATCGTAGTGGATAGGATAAGAGTGCTAAGTATAGGAGAGAACTGTGAAGTCTCTGTGTTGACCTTGTTAATAAGTTGAAAGAGAACAAGATGATTATAAGATACAAGTACAAGAATATAAATAGCAATCCTAGCTAGCCATGTACTCTGAGGGGTACATTCCCTTCTTAACTGAATTGCATTGCTACAGTAACACGCGACTATTGCCGTTCTAGACAGTTACCACGTTGTATTTCGCAACTGCCTTGTGCGGTTACTGGGCAGTCAAGGGTCACGACCGTTGACTATCTTCGACTGTTGACCTTCGGGTGACCCTCGAACTTCCGCGTGCTCTATACGAGCTCATGCGGTACTGGTACAAGCACCTGCTTCGCTATGAAGAGGTGCGATAGTGGAGAGTCTTCGGGAATGCTTGTGATAACCTTTCAGTTATCCCAACACTCCCCTTCATTCCTGAAGGTGAGCCACGTGGGATTTCTTGGTGATCCCGCAGAGGTTGGCGCAGTGCTGGAACTGTTGACGTGGCAGTTTCTTTGTCAGAAAGTCGGTTGCCATGTCGCCAGTCGAGCAGTACGTGAGCTTGACCTTGCCCTTGTCGATTTCGTCCTTGACGAAGAAGTAGCGAAGGGCGATGTGTTTCGTGCGATTCACGAAGTCGGGTTTGTTTGCGATCTTGATCGCACTCTGGTTGTCGCAGAGTAACTTGAAGTGCCCGTTCATCGTTACTTTCGCTTCCTGCAGGAGCTCCATCAGGTACAGTCCTTCGCGAACAGCTGCGCTGGCGGCGATGAATTCTGCTTCGGCTGACGAAAGGGCGATGAGTTCTTGCTTCTGAGAGTTCCATGAGATGAGCCCAGCAGGTTGGAGTTGAAAAACAAATCCTGTGCGGGAACGTCTGTTGTCAACATCTCCCGCGTGATCAGCGTCTACGTAGCCGTGCAGCTGCAGGGTGGCCGTTAAGTTAGCTTCGTAGGTGAGGCCGACGTCGGGAGTAGAGACGAAGTATTGGAGTGCGCGGCGCAGATCCTGTAGATTCTCCCCTTCAGGTCGCTTCATGTACTGAGCGAGCTGGCTGGCGACGTAGGAGAGATCAGGCCGGCACGTGACGGCGGCAAAGAGAAGGCACCCGAGCTGCTGCTGATAGAGCCGATGATCTTCAAGAGAGAGAGGCGAGGTGTCGGCTTCGTGATTAGGAGGAGGAGTGCGAAACGGGGTGGTGAGGTTGATTGGTGCGATGCCGAATTTCTTCGCGAGTGTCTCGGCGTACTTGGCGGCGGAGAGGTGAATGGAGGAGGCAGACTGGGTGATGTTGAGTCCGAGGAATTGGGTGACGTCGTGGTTGATGGTGACTTCCAGCTGCTCCGTGATGTCTGCTTCGAACTGATCCAGTAGCTCCGTGTCGTCGCCGGTGTAGAGGAGGTCATCGACGTAGGCGACGAGGAGAATGAACTTGCCGCGCGACTCCTTCCTGTACATTCCGAGGTCGTGGGGTAGCTGTTGGAAGCCGAGGTTTGTGAGCACCGTGTGGAGGTACTGCTGCCACAGGCGAGGTGCTTGCTTGATCCCGTAAAGGGATTTTTGGAGTAGGCAGACGGCGCCGTCGTTCTCTTCAAAGGCATGTGGCTGCTCGACGAAGATGATTGCGTCGACTGGAGCGTACAAGAATGCGCTGCCGACGTCGATCTGACGGAGAGGGCGCTGCTTGACGACTGCGATGCAGATGAGAATTCGCACGGAGGTGTGCCGTCCGACTGGTGCGTAGTTGAGGTCAAAGTCCACCATGTGTGTTTGCTCGAAGCCGCGTACCACCCAACGCGCTTTGTATTTGTCAATGGAGCCATCCGCCAGTGTCTTGATGCGGAACACCCATTTTCCACTGAGAATTTTCCTCCCCTTCGCAGATGTCCGGGGAACCAG